TGTGTCTGGTAATCTGAACAGCTACTTTGAAGATAATATGCAGTATGAGAGCCGTTGCTAGTTTCCTTTCCTCTTTTATTGTTTTTAAAATTTCTCTTTAAAATAAAAAGAAAGATAAATGCCATCCTTAAAGTTTTAAAAATCATTTATTTCTTTGGTACCGGGTTTCACGGTGCAGCTCAGACTCATAGTGATCCTGTCTTGGCCTGCCCAGTGCTGGGATGACATACAGGTGTGAGAATTACAGGTGTGAGCATTACAGGTGTGAGAATTACAGGTGTGAGCCACCATGCCCAGTTTGGGTGGCTGGTGTGGTGTGCCCAGGGTACATGGTATTGGGGATCAAACCCGGGTCCTGGTGCTTGCCAGGTAAGTGCTTGAACCGTTGAGTTAACTCCCCAGCCCAAAATGCAGCCCTTGACTTACAGCTGATTTTCATTCCAGTGGAATTGTAAGTTGGATTCCTTGGCAAACTCACACAATGAATTTCATCATTATAGCTGTGAACGCTCATGACTCAATCATTCATAAATTATGGACTTACTGTACAGAGGTTTCAGCTGAGGCAGCTGCTCCTTTTGTAGGTATCTTTCCCAGTGTGAAAGCCATCACATCACAGCGACCCATGTGGACCCATCTTTTTTTAAAATTTTATTTGTGTGTGTGTGTGTGTGTGTGTGTGGCCAGCTCAGCCCACCAGGGGGCGGGCTGGCTGGCATGTGGTGCTGGGGGATTGAACCGCGGTCCCTGTGCTTTGCTAAGCTTGTTCTAAGTAGGTGCTTTAGACCACTGAGCCATCTCACCAGCCCCATGTGTACCCATCTTTATAGCACTGTAACTCATGACAGCTAAACCTCCAAACAGCTTTATGTCCATCAACAGATGGACTCATAAGATGTGGTATTTGTAAGTGATGGAGCACCCCAGTTCTCTACTATACAGGAGGGGACGCACTTGAGTTCTTTGTAGGAAAACAGATGTTCTTTGAGACCAAAATGTTAAGTGAAATCAATCAGGCACATAAGCTTAGATATCACAGAGTTTCTCGTATACGAGAAAGCCAAAGTGTTGGTAGATTTTGCACAAAATAGAACAATATAGGAAACAGAGACATAGATATTTTGCAATTGGGAGGAAGCCACACGGCCCAGGGAGGAGGTAAGGGAGTGTGGAGAGGGACCCAAATAGGTGCCGCAGGCCACTGCGACGGGCCCTGGGCAGGACTTACATTAACTGATTGGCTTTCCATGTCTACTTGTCAGTTTGTGCAGACCCAGGCAGCAGACTCGGGTGAGTGAACCCGTGTCACGGGCCCTGCAGAAGCCTCAAGAGACAAGGCAAGGCCACTGCTAGGGACAGCTGGCTCCAACCACAGCTAGCTAGACGCAGACTGGAGCTGCAGGCATCTCGTTACTCCTGTGGCGAAGGCCTTCCTGGAGACAACAGAGTTCCCCTAAGTTAGCATCAGGCGTTGCTTGGAGAAGCCCTGGAAAGGACTCCAGTCCTGCCGGGATTCCAGAAAATCTCTGTGGGAGGGGTCGAATCCTCCTGGACCCCTAAAGCCATACCATCCGTTCCATTTCTTTAAGCCTTTTCCACCCACTCATTTGGGAGATGGTGGGCCTGATCAGCGTGCAGTAACTAAGGATTTTATTTTCATTCGTTTATCTATTTTTGGTATTAGGACCCAAACTCGGGGCCTCACGCTTGCCAGGCAGGCGCTGTGTCGCTGGGCGGAATCCCCGGCAAGGGGATTTTATTACCAGGAATGTAACCATTACGCACTGCAAGCATATACTGATAATAAAAGAAAACCTGTATATTTATGGTAACATCTGATGTCTCAAGTCAACGTTCAGCATTTCTGTGTGATGGGAACTGAGCGCCCACAAATAAGGCGGAGAGTTCACTTCGACCCCTATTTCAGCCCATGGTGAGCCAGCGCCAGGGCTGACCCATGGCCCAGGGCCGGGTGGAGAAGAGCCGCTAGCCTGGCCTCGTGGTGGCCCAGAAGCGGAGAGCAGGGAGGGCCGGAGGGGGGCGGCGCCTTCAGATCCCGCCCCCAGCGACCCCGCCTTCCCACCAGGCCCCGCCCCTGCCATGAGGCCTCTGTGAGTCCCCAAATCCAGTTGCTGTCCACGAGTCCTGCCATGAGCACGTGAGCTCTTGGGGACCCCTAGATGCGTCCACACTATCCTCAGCCAGGGCTGGGTAGTGTCTGAACCAGGCTGGAAGCTGGCTCCTTGGTTGGCATTTGCAGGCCGCAGCAGTGTGACCCAGGGGCTGTGTGTAGACAGCCCCAGAGGAGCCCCGACAGCTCTAGGAGTTACTGTCACGGCAGCCAAGAGTGAGGAGAGTGAGGTCCCCTTCCTGGGAGACATTGAGGCTAAGGCTTTCTGACCCCCGGGTGGGGTTGCTGAGGGGGGCACCACTTCATGGACAGGATGCCCGGGTAGGGGAGGGTGCTCCAGCCCAGCACCCCAGGCCCCTGCCACCTGGGTCTCCTTCACTTGTGCGGCCACACATGAGGGAGTGGAGACACCAGAGCAGTCCTAGCGGCGGGCTTTGCTGCCCTCTGCTCTGGGAGTGCCCGGCCCTGGCAGCTTGCTGGGAACTTCACAAGGGTGCAGATGCTGTCGCACACGGCCCACCCTGGTGCAGGGTGCGGGTACAGCGGTGACGGGGCAGGGGGAGCCTCAGTGAAGACCGAGTTGTTCTGCCTCCTGTTGCTCTGTCCCCCACCCCCGTGCATCCACCGTCCCCCTGGAGAGGGTCGATTTGCCTGAGGGCATCAGGATATCCAGGAAGAAGGGTCAGAGGGTGCCAGCCCTCCCTCCTCTCTGCTGTGACTGCTTCCAGGGGCTGGGATGTTTAGGCACAGGTGACGCAAGAGCAGGTCTCAGTGAAACTAAAATGACCCAGGTCTGAGCTAAGTTACTACCTGACCCAACCACCCTCCTCTGTGCCTAAGTAGCTCCTTTCATCCAACAGGTTCAAAGCTGCCTAACAAAATAAACCCACTTATTCTTGCACCATGACAGAGTAGGCAAACAGGGTTCTTCCCACTTCAGGGGGATAGGAGGGTGAGTCACTCCTGGATAGGAGGCAGCTCTTGGGGCCCAGGGGGCTGTAGCGGGGGTGGGCCCAGGCCCTGCGGTCCACACCCAAGGCTCTGTGGCTTCTTATGGGAAGGTGAGAGTGCACCCTCTGGCGTGTTCGAGGGAAGACATGCTGGGCACAGGGGATGGTTAAACAGAAGGCACGTGTGCAAAGGGCACAAAGGGCCTCTCTGGACACCCAGCACCAGCACCACCACCATCCCTGACACTGGAGAGTGCCCAAGGAGGGGGCAAGGTAACCTCCCAGGGTCCCACCGTGGGGCTCTTCCTAGGAGTCAGACACAGAGCCGAGTTACAGGGAGGCCGAGTTACATAAATCCATCTCATGCTGACAGCAATCCCCAGAGTCACTGCTGTTCCTCCCCTGTTACTGTAGAGGAAGAGTCAAGGCCCAGGGAGGCTGAGGGCCTCACGCAAGGTCATAGAAGCCAGGTCAGGGAGCCATGTCGCGGTCATGGTTACCCTACCATTTGGTTCCTTGCCTTGCAGGGGGCCAGAAGGACTCTGCCGCAGGAATCGTTCCTGGGAATTCACGCCACTGAGGGCGAAGGAGCCATGAGGGTTCCCATGTTGCTCTACAGTCACCGACAACGGCAACGACCGCGATCACCCGAGCAGCTTTGTCCAGCCCCGGCCCTGCCGAAACCACTGTCTGTTGAGAAGAGAGACCTTCCGGCTGACCACCTAGCTCACTGCCCTGCCATTTATGGGGCTCGAGCTGCAGATGCCCCCAGGGGAGTTAGGGCCAGCAGCACCATCCGCATGGTGCCCGGGGGGGGGGGGTGACCTCCCAGGGTCCCAGCTGCCAGTTCACCTCCACTGCTCCTGGCCCGTGCGTGGCCTTTCCCCTGGCGGAGTGTCACACTCAGCCCCTCAAACACTGGGCTGCGGCTCACTGCCTGGAGCTCCCAGCCTGGGCGCCTCCCATCCTGAGTCAGCCCCTACACCCACATGCACCACTTCAGGCGGGGCTGCTGGCTGGTGGCCTCCGTCAGCAGAGGCTTCCCCTTTATTCTGGTCATTGTGACAAACCTGTCCTGACCTCGGACCCCTCTACAAGTCACTTCAGTGGTGTGCGATAGCCTCGCCCGTGCCCACCCCAGGAGCTGTCCCTGGCGTCAAGGGCAGAGCTGGGTCTCTGCTCCCGGAAGGTGCATGTGCCACCTCCGTGTTCATCTGCTCATCCTCTTTCCTGTTCTATTTCTTCCTTTGCCGGGGCTTGGGGGACATGGCTATCTGCCCTTTGTCCCTGCCACCTCCCTGGCATTTCTCCCCTGAAACCTGCCAGCCACCTTTGGGCCACTTAAAGTGTATCTCAGGGGAGGCCATGGGGCTCATAGTGGCCGCTGCCATGCCCAGCCTGTGGGACCCAGAGCAATGAGGACCGAAGGTCCAAATGCACGCTTACTGGGGACTCCCTGAGGGCAAGGTTCTTAAGGGTGTTGCGGTTCCAGTGAGGTCAGGCTGCTGAGCCCGATGTGCCGGTCACCCCAAGGAGGGGGTGCAGGTGAATTCCCTTTCAGAAGCAGGGGTTATGGTCGCATGCTTTACCCTGGTCCCCAGCAGAAGCTGGACTGGAGCTCAGCACAGGAAGAACTTGGGAAGAAGCCAGGTGGGGAGTAGAGGGAAAGAAACTTCGGGTGTCAAGAGCTCAGTTACATTGCATGTTTATCTGAGAGCTACTGGAGGGCGGGATGTGCTGTGCCCCCTCCCCACCATGTCCCCTGCCCCTGCGATGGTGTCAGATATACTGCAGGTGCTCCACAAATGGCAGCTGCCCTGAGTGCCATAGGTGGAATTTTGTAATTGCATTTAAAACAAAAGTTTTTCCAAATTTCCATCTCACACCTTTTAAATAGTCCATCTCCTTACCCTTGGGCGATTTCTTGTACATGCCTGGGACTCTGTTGGCCTGTCTTAATCGTAAAGGCTAGCCCTTTATAGAACTGGGAGTCTTCAGGTCTGCCCGGCCTAGAGAAGGTGCCTCATCAGTGTGCCCTGCGCCACTCTGAGCCAGACAAAAAAGTGTTGCTTCAGTGCTGGGGAGATAGCTCAGCAGTGTAAGTGCCTGCCTGGGAAGTGCAAAGTCCCGAGTTCAATCCCTAGAAAAGGCAGGGTCCCTGGAAACCCACTCTGGTCCCCTTCTGTCCCCCTCTTGGACAGAAGCTTTCTTTCCCTCAATAAATATATCTTGCTCTTAACCTCTGTTGCTCCTAGAATTCACTCTTCCATTGTAGAGAACACAAACTCACCCTGGGTATCGTTCACTTTGGGGGTTTCTTTCCCCTAGATCACAGTGTCCCCCATTAGCTCAGCAAACTCACTCAAATCTGTCGATTTTTGGAAATCCCAGAAAGAGGCCAGGCCCAGTCACAAGTGACAGCAGCCCCGTGCACTCACCGGCTGGTCTTCTGCAGCCTCCACCCAACGCGTGGCCGTTTCCTCTCCACAGTGGGAAACACGAGCCATTGGCCTGTGGTCCTGTGTCAGGCCCTCTCACAGCCTTGGGAGCCTGGCAGGCCCGGCTGTCACCAGCCCAGCCCGCTCCGGGTGCTTCTCGGCCCGGTTCTGCAGTTGGCCGCTCTGCAGCGGGCCGGCTTCCTCGGCTTCCTTAACAAGGTTTTTGCTTTCTTCTGTGTCTTTTGCACTCATGAAGCACATCTCTCCTGCCGCCCTGCTCTTTCTCCAGGGCGCCAAACTCTCTCTCTTTTTTTGTTGGAAGTTCCATTTTCACTTTCCAGGTCAGAGAGCTCTTGCGTCTTCTCAGGCTTAGCGTCTAATCTAAAGCCCTCTTGAGGCCACACTGGGCAGCCGGTGGAGAAGACCACGGCGGCTGGGGGAGGCTGCCGGCATTGAGGCTGTGCTCAGTGAGGTGCAGGGGTGGAGACAGACGGCGGGAGCTGCTCCATGCTGGAAGGGAGCAGAGGCCCTGCGGGGCCCCAGAGCAAGGGCTCCGCTGTGGGCGCAGCCTCATCCCCGCGGAGCCCCAGAGCAAGGGCTCCGCTGTGGGCGCAGCCTCATCCCGCTCATCTTGGGGCAGGAGACAGGAGCCCCGCTGCCAGCTGCTGCCTGGTCCTGCGTCTGTCGACTAGAGACTCTTGCGGGCACCTGCCTCCAGGCCTGCCTGTGTCTCCCCTTTCCTTGTGTTGGAGGAAAGCAATTTGATTTTATTACGAGTCCGGGGCTCCTTTGTAGTGTGGTGGGGCTCCTCACCTGAACGGCCCTGCAGTAAGTGGCAATAATGGTCTCGCACAGGGCGGGTGCAGGACCTTTTATCTGGGGCCCAGGCTGAGGCTGCAGGAATACGACCCTGAGCACTCCTGGAGGAGGAAGCCAATAAGTCATCAGGGAGGTGACAGCCCTGGCTGGAGCCCAAGCCGCAGTGGAGGCCAGGAGCTGCTCCGGAGGCACAGGTGGTACCCAGCACTGCCTGTAATTACGTAGCTTTTATGCATCCCCTGGCTTGGGCCACTGCTTCCTCAGATCTTCAGCTGCTCCTCACTACCCAAATCAACCCCAGCTTGCCTTGTGAAATCCTCCACGGGTGGCAGCCAGCATCTCTTCTCCCAGGACCCAGACCCTTGGACACAGGGGCACAGTGACAGCCCTGCTCTGGCACAGAGCTTTATGTTTCCAGTTCTGATAGCAGTGCACTTGGGCGAGTGGGGCTGGGGCGCCCAGGGTAGAGCACTGAATGTCGTCCCGGTGTGTCTGGGAACATGCTAGAAAGTTTAACTGTAAACTTAAAAGCAATTGTGAGCATTAAGCCTGGCATGGGCGTATCATGGATAGCACATCAAGTCGTGCGGGGCGTGGTGGCACACACCTGTAATCCCAGCGCTGGGGAGGCTGAGACAGGAGGACCATTACGAGTCTGAGCTGCCAAGTGAGACCTTGTATCAGAAAAAAAGTTCCCTGGGCAATTGTCTTAAGTGATGACGGGGGCCCGAGGACACACACAACAGTCTTCCAGCCATCTCCCACGGTCCACATCTCTCCTAATCATTTACCTCCGCCATTCTTCTCCAGCCCTGGATGCTACTCATTTAGACAGTGGTTTGTCGAAGCAGAGGGGAAGAGTCGAGGGTTGAAACTTAATGCTGGCTCTTCCTCAACCCAGTTTCTGTCTCTCCCAAGAAACGCCAGGTGGGCCAGGCGCCAGGAGTGGTGCATGGTATGAGGACAGCATCGGGTGGACCAACGCCTCGTTACCCAGGGCCGGACGGCGTGGCGTTTTTGAAGGTCAACCACAGAGCTCTGATCTCATGGGTGTGCTGCCCACATGGGAGTCCTGACTTAGCAAGAAGCCCAAGTAAAGAATTTTATGGGACAAGGGACTCTTGGGAGGAAAGCAAGTACCAGACTGAAGGGCGGGCTGTCTGGAAACCCATGAAGAAGTACAAAGAAAAAGGACATTACACGGTGTGTCCACACCCTACGGGAAGGGGTATAAGTGCCGGCCTGAGAAGGAGCCTCACAGCGCTGTGGCTTGGAGAACTCGGATCCTTCTTCAGCCCGGCACCTCGCTCCCTCCTCAGCCACCATGCCCTACACCTGCTGCCTGCCCGCCCTGAGCTGCCGCACCAGCTGTTCCTCCCGGCCCTGCGTGCCCCCCAGCTGCCACGGCTGCACCCTGCCCGGGGCCTGCAACATCCCCGCCAACGTGGGCAACTGCAACTGGTTCTGCGAGGGCTCCTTCAATGGCAGCGAGAAGGAGACCATGCAGTTCCTGAATGACCGCCTGGCCAGCTACCTGGAGAAGGTGCGCGAGCTGGAGCGCGAGAACGCGGAGCTGGAGCGGCGCATCCAGGAGCGGAACCAGCAGCAGGAGCCCTTGCTGTGCGCCAGCTACCAGTCCTACTTCCGCACCATCGAGGAGCTGCAGCAGAAGGTGGGCGGGGCTGTCAGCCCCAGCTAGGGGAGCCGCCCTGACCCTGGGCATGGGGCACCCCGGCTCTGGGCTCTCAGCCTTCTAGCCTCCCCCTTTCCCTGCACTTAAAGGAAGTTGAGTGGCTGCACATTTCTTTCGCACCTCACTAAGCAGCGTCTTCCCCCCTAGATACTGTGTAACAAGGCGGAGAACGCCCGACTGGTGGTGCAGATCGACAATGCTAAGCTGGCCGCCGACGACTTCAGGACCAAGTGAGTGCTGTGGCATCCATACCAGTGTCCCCTGTTACCTCTGGTATATAGAGAGATACCCAAAGCTTACTGAACAACCACTCAATGCACCAGGCATGAAGGACTCTGAGGGGAACAGAGTGCGGGAACCAGGGCGACAGATGGGCACTGACATCAGTCTGCTTATTGCGGGGCCCATATTGGGTCTTGACGCAGCATCTGCCCCCGCGTCTGCTCCTTGCAGGTGGCAGGAAGACGTGTTGAACGGGCTTACCGTGTTGAACGGGCTTGAGTCTTGAAAAGCTGGTAGTCGCTGCTTTAACCCTGACCTCGTGCAGGTACGACACGGAGCTGTCCCTGCGGCAGCTGGTGGAGTCCGACATCAACGGCCTGCGCCGGATCCTGGACGAGCTGACCCTGTGCAAGTCCGACCTGGAGGCGCAGGTGGAGTCGCTGAAGGAGGAGCTGCTCTGCCTCAAGAGGAACCATGAGGAGGTGGGGCCAGAAATGAGCGAGGAAGACCCCCGAGCTGAGCCAATGGGAGCTTTGTGGATTTAGGGCAGCAAAATGAAGCTGCAGGCCCAGCCTAGGGTGTCTTTATACATTTCCTTTAAAAACACCAAAACCTCATGATGATAGAAGAGTGGGGGGTGGGGAGGAAGAGAGGGAGAGGACACCTGTGTGCATCCCCAGGCAGGCTCTGCTGTGCACCGAGACTCTGAGCGCCCTGGGTTACCAGGCCCTGCACTGGCCGTAGTTGTCA